AAAAAAAAAAAAAAAACTTTAAATAAAAGTGTAGATGGCCACTACATGCATGGAATGAGGAAAAGGGTCTGATGAAGTGTAGAGTCTTGTCTCTCCTCTGGTTTATGATGTTGCTGACTCTGTGTTGGACAAGTGCTGTCTTCCAGAGTGCTGCATCTGCCTTCACTTAATAACTTGTCTTCTTGGCAGATCAGTGGCCTCTGCTGACCACACTTAACTACCCACAGTCTATGCAGGCTCTCTGCACCTTCAGATGCTACCCCTTGGGTTAACTAGTATTCTGTCTGGGGCTGGGAACTGAAAGTGTCGGCCCCAGGTGTTGGAATTGTGAGAAGTACCACAACACTGCAAACTGTCTGTGTATTAATCACCCTGTGGGAAGGGAACCTATGGATGAATATGTGCACATAAGTACCGTGACCACTGAGGCCATAAGAGGGTGTCAGATCCCCTGGAACTAGACTTACTGTAGTTGTGATCCTCCCAACTCTGATCCTCTGTAAGAGTAACAAGTGCTCTTAACCACTGAACAATCAGCCCTTGGTTTACTTCTTACCAATGCATCAACCTATGTTTTTTCTGTACTTTTCACATACCCTAATACTACCTTTGTAAATTTCTGAAGCTTTTTCCTCTCTTTCTTTCTGAAGTTTTTTCTTTTCTTGTTGTTCTCACTCTTTTCCCTTACTGGATTCCCTGGAGCCACCTCTACCCCACCATCTTACTCGGGAGCCTCAAAGTAGATTTAAAAGCAAGGAATAGATAAAGTCCTAATGATAAGGAGAGCTACTGTTGTCAACGATTTTACTTGTAAATACATGACAGATTCCACATGCATTTATTTCTGGTTATTTACATAGTTGGTGAATGTATTAGTCTATGGTTCTCCAAAGAAACAGAACCAACAAAATGTCTGTATATGTACATGTGTTCTTGTACCTGTGTGAGATTTATCATAAGGAATTGCTACACTCTAATATATGTAGGATTTAGGAGGCACAGTAGGGTGAGAAGGCATGAACCAGGAACGTTAAGAACACCAGAATGTTCTTTTAAGGGAAGAAATAAAACACCTGTTATCCTCCCAGAAGCAGTTGTGCTTTCTAGTCTGGTGACCTTTGCACTATCTAGCCTTTGCACTAAGTATGGGGCTGGAGACAACATTGAACCCTCCCCCAATTTTTAAACTTATTTTTCTCAGTTAATTTATAGAACCTATCACATGTACTTTACAAAGAGTTTCAATGTAATCACATCCAATATTTATTTAGCTTACTTTGTGTTTTATTGTGCACGTGGGATTAGGTAATCACCAGGAAAGTGTTGAACCAAAGGAACGCCTTCACAGGCCAGCAGAGAGGTGATCCGTAGGAGGCAAGAAGATTTGGTTCAGCATGGCTCAGTAGCTGGTGTTGGTTCTGACCCCGAATGGTTTGTTTTAAGCATATTTAAGCATAGCACAATTTGATGATATTCATGGGTCTACCCCTCTGGAACTGAGAGTCTTAGATACGACAGTTTATTTCATAAATTGCCTTGGTCGTGATGGTTGAGCACAGCAACAGAAAAGTAACTAAAACAGTAGGTCGCCAACACTTATTGAAATATTGGTCAGCTGTAAACTTTTATTTAGCTTTTGTTTTTAACTCACAAATCCCTTTATTTTGCCTTTGCTTTGGAGAGTTATTTCTGCCAATGGTAGGATTTTAACAGGATTTTTTTTTCATTTTTATACCTCAAAGATTTTGCTCATTTACATTATTTCTAATAAGAAATGTATTTTCATCTTTGTCTTTTTTTCTCACTATAAAAAAAATAACTCATAAGTGATCAGAGACATAAATGTAGAAGTTAAAAAGTATAAAACTCTTAGATGGAAACACAGGTGTACGTTCGTAGCTTTGGGTCAAAAAATGGCCTCTTAAATGTAGCTCCAAAATCACAAAAAAAAAAATGAGTAATTTGATTTCATCAAAATGGAAAGCTTTTGTGCATCAAAGAACACTGCCAAGCCCCTGCTGGCTAGTTTTCCTCGTAATCAACAGTCTTACTCATGTATGAATCCTGTGAGTTACAACAACAAGCCTCACAAGACATACCCGAGGGTGCAATAGTGGTGTAGGTGTTATGGGAATAACAAACTGCTTTCTGATTGGATTGAGGATCCACTCCACAGGAGGAAACTCATGCCTGGTACTATACATCCAGCCAAGAAACCATTCTGGGGAAGAAAAGCCTGTTACTATTAGTTTGCTACATTGAGATAGTATCAAACTGCCTTCTAAATAATTCTCTATACCCATAGATTAGGTCAGCTCTCATTCCCCACCAGAGAAATTTCTTCTTGCAGTTGACAGTGTCTGATACTCAGACTCACAATTTGCCAAAACACAGAGAACAGGTGTCTGTGGAGTACTCAGCCACAAATGAGACATCTATATCACACCCTTGGCCCCAAAGCTCAGGTGACATCAGAGAAGAAGGGAAGTAAGGTTTAAAGAGCCAGAGCTCTGGGGGGTCTGCTTCGAAACCATGTCTTCTAAACACAGCAGAGGTGCTGCGCTCAGGAGCTCACAGAAGCAGCGGTTGTCTGCACAGGCTCCCAGCACTCATCATTCCAGCATGGATGGCTGGTGGACTATCCACAGCTGAGGAACTGTTAGCAGTTGGTAGACGATGGTGGAGGAAGAGTCCACGTTCTTTAGGGATGTGGCATCAGGTAGACTGACCATGTTCTGTTAGGTGGCTTGACACCCATGCACATTTGAGTAGCACTAATTTTGTACTCAGTGAATTATAGAGAAAAAAGAGGACATGAAATCAGGATGGGGACATGATGGGGGATCCAGGAAGAGTTAGATAGGGATGTGAGGGTAGACGTGATCAAAATACACCGAATACATGTATGAAAGTATCAAAGAATAAATAATTTTAAAAGAATACTACTCAGAAAAAAAATGAAAGACAATCATGGAATGGAAGAGAATATTTTGAAATGACTCATCTGATATAAGTATCTAATAATCATGTTATATAAAAAGTTCTTACAATGCAAAACAAAACAAAAAAACTGATTTTAATTGGCAAAGAAGAATTTGGTCTTTTCTACAAAGATATACAAGTGACCAATAAGCATGTTGCATGATTCCATCTCTATAAAATCCCAGACTAGGATAACCCATTAAAACAGAAAGTGGTTGCTTACGTTTAGTGGAAAAACAAGAGAGATAAGAAGTTAGAAGTAACAGCTAATTGATGCAGGAGTTTTTGTTTTGTTTTCTGAGATTTTATTATTTTATTTATTATCATGTGTGTGTGTCCTGTGGCACATATGTGGTAGTCAGAGGACATGTTGCGGGAGTTGGTTTCCTCCCTTCTCCATGTGGGTTCTGGAGATGGATTTCAGATCATGAGGTTTGGTGGCAAGCACCTTTATCCACTGTACCGTCTCACCAGCCATCTCACTGGATGCATGGAAGAAGATCCAGTTGCAAGGTTTTCTGCAGGCAAGCCAGGTAACTTTAGAACTCTGTAAAGGAGAAATGAAGCAGAAGCTGAGGACTTTGCCCAATGGCAGTACATGCACTAGTATGCTCATCGTGGTCTACTGGGAGTCACACAACTGATAGGGACAGGTGCTGGGAGACATTTGCGGGGTAGTAATCAAAGCACATCTGACTCAGCCAGGAGTGGTGGCTCGTGACTTTAATCCCAGCACTTGAGAGGCAGAGGCAGGTAGATCTCTGTGAGTTCAAAGCCAGCCTGGCTACATAGCAAGCTCCAGGCCAGCCAGGGCTACCTATTTCATATACATAAATGAGCACCTTCTCCACCACAAGGGACTGTACCCCAAACTGTTAACCAAAGTAAACACTTCCTCCCTTTAAAAACAATACATCTGGGAGCTGGAGAGATGGCTCAGAGGTTAGGAATGTGTACTCTTCTTGCAAAGAACCCTAGTTTGCTTCCCAGCACCCACATCAGGAGGATCACAACTGCTTGTAACTCCAGCTCCAAGGAATCTACGGCTCTCTTCTGACCTCCGCAGGCACCTCCACTCATGTGTACAAACCCACACTGACACACACACGCAATTTGAAATTAAAAGTAAATCTTTCTTTAGAGTGCGTCTGCTTTGAGAGTGGTTATCTAGTTTGTAACGTGGGGAACTGTACGACCCAGAGGATGAGGGACCTACCCTGGGTGGAGGTCGCCAACACAGAGACATCAGAGGCAGGGACAGATGGCTGTCAGTATCAGTAGGGTCCTCACCTGCTTCTCAAAATGGCTCTTTTGTCTCCACCACCGACAAGTCATCAGCGGGGTCCTTGCGTCTTACAGAGCTCTTTGAGGTTCGGAAGTTCTTTAAAAAGGGAAGTTTGTGCTTGTACATCCTCCAAAACCTCCCCAAACCCAACAGCATCAGCTCCAAGGAAGTGACCAAGAGACAGGCCCCACTGATTCCAAACATGGAGTTGAGGAGAATGGTCTTCTCAGAGGGGTGGGACTGGAAACAGGTCGTGCTGCCGATGCAAGGATCCTCGCGACATATAAAAGTGCTGGGCATCTTGAAGCCATACAGGTGGTACTGAACTCCCAAGGCTGCTCCCTCAAGGACCAGCCGTGCCCCAAGCTGTGCCACATAGGCCCAGAGAAGCTTGAGGCTTCCAGTCCCTAAGACATCCTTGCTATGGTCCCCCTTGCAAATCCGTGTCTCTTGTTCCTTATTTTCTTTTTCTGGTTCCTCCCAGTATCCAATCACATGATACAGAGTGAAACCCATGTAAATGACACTGGGTACAGCCATCAGGATGACTTGGAAGGCCCAGAAGCGCAATGGAGAAAGGGGGCGGAAGATGTCATAGCAAGTGGTCTTGCAGCCTGGCTGTCCTAAATGACACATGAATTCGTTCTCATCATCGCCGAAGACCCCAGGTCCACTGGAAACCAGAAGCAGGAGGCGGAATCCCATGAGCACTGGAAGTAGGAAGCGCCCCACGGGGGTGGAATGCTGGCTCTCCTTAGCCAACAGCTGCCTCAGGAACTTGCCACACATTCTGCCACTGAGCAGAGAACAATCATCAGTGAAGGTGTCCCACCCTTTAGAGGAGGCTTCAGCCTGTTTTGTTCACCTGCTAACCCAAGGATCTGCAAAGCAAGATCTGCTCCTCTCCAAAGTTGATCAAACACCATATAGTCTGTTTTGCATGCCTATAAGACAATACCTGAGGCAAGTGCCTTTATAAACATAAAAAAAGGTTAGTTAGCTCACAGTTGTGGAGGTTTGAACTCCAAATAGCATAGCACAGACTGGTGAAGGTCACTCATTGAAAGAATGTGTCATGTCTTGGATGGCAATGAGGAGGAGGGCATGTTGAAGCAAAAAGTTTCAATGTAAGGAGAGGGGAGGATGGACAGAATCCCATGATCCCTTTCAAGAGTACATTTTCATGGATTGGGGGCAGGGGGCTCAATCAGTAAAGTATTGCACAAGCATGAAAACCTGAGCTCAATCCTCAGAACCCATGTGAAAATTCGGAGTGTGGTGGTGTGCACTTGAAACCCCACTGCTGGGGAGGCAGAGACAGGAGGATCCTAGCCAACTGGAGAGCCTCCAACCAGCAAAAGATCCTCTCTCAAACACAAGGTGGATGACTTCCAGAGAATGACACATGTCACTGAGCTCCAGTACACACACGTACACACACACACACACACACACACACACACACACACACACACACACACACACGCTGAGGGCCGTGGGAGTATACGGCAGGTGACAACTGATGTTTGACAAGTCAACCCACCAGACGTATAACTCCCTGATGGGGAGCCCCACCTGGCAAAGCTGTGGGGTCAATGGCTGTGGAAACTAGTTGTTTTCTGTCTGTAACTTTCTCATGTACCACCATTATACCTCCCTGTAAGAACAGCTGTGAGGTGCTTTCCACAGCCCTTTGGTAGTATGTTTTACATCTCTGGGCACACATTTAGCTGTGGATTTCTGTTTAAGCTGTATAACTCTGATGAACAGAAATATTATCAGAATATTCTTTACTGACATAGGAAAGTAGCAGTATTCTCAGTCTCAAAGACAGCCTTTTATACATTTTGCAAAGACCTTAGAACAAGTCCAAAACAGACTAAGCTGCCTCTACAGAGAATACACAAAGACTAATTCCTAGGTGTTGTCTATTGCTAAATCAAGGCCAGGCTGTTTAACATCAAAACACAGTCCTTGCAGTAGCTCCCTTTCTGTAGGTGCCCTGACCACTCAAGATTCAGCCAATTGTTTATTAGCTGTGTAGAGCTGTGTGGGAGCTTGTGGCTGCATCCCTGCTGAGCTACTCCTGGCCTGGCTCCAGAGAGTAGCACCTAGCCCTAATCCATCTTTTCTTTAACTGATACCTTTCGTTTGTCCTATGTGAACCTTGTTTCAGAGTCTCCCAAGGATACAAAGGCCTCTGCAAAACTTGATTCAGGAAACCAGGCAAATTGCGGTACCTGATAAATCGTGGAATTTGCACTTGGCATTGTATTTTTGGAAGCTCCTTTCAGGTTGTTTTGAGCATATGGAAATTAACTGGCTAAACTGTAAATATTGAGAATAATATTTACAGTTTATTGAGAAAAATGCCCTGGGTGAAGGGAAAGGGATCAGTCCCTAGAGCCTTGAGTCCAGAGAGGCTGGATCCCCCTGCAGCCTCAAAGGCTAAATTCATTCTTAAGATGCCTCTGAGTCTTCTTTCCATGGAACCCACACACCCGTGCTGTGACACTTCTTGACAAGAGCTGCTGCAGAATGTGGGTGAAGTGTGTGTGTGTGTGTGTGTGTGTGTGTGTGTGTGTGTGTGTGTGTGTGTGCTGGGTGAGAAATGAAGAAGAACCATGAGAGAAGTGTGAGGAAATGA